GAGAAGAACATGATGAGATAAGAGATGACGAGATGATTTTAATGTTTAAAAAGCAAATAGATGAAGGTTAAATGTCTTAACGTATCAGAGAAAGCCTAGCACTCTGGGAGGCCGAGGTGGGCGGATTGCTCAAGGTCAGGAGTTCAAAACCAGCCTGAGCGAGACCCCGTCTGTGGAGTGGGACTGAAGACAAAATTTTAGATAAATCTCTCTCCTCTATCTGTGCTGAAGACTGAGGTTTACTCTCTGGGGAGGAAGAACCAGGGAAGCTCTGTATTCAGCAATAGAAAATACAGCTGAAGATATGGGCAAGATATGGGCATTGAGTGGAAGTCTACATTCTGAATAACCTCCCCCTCCCCCTATTCCCCACCTGGCTCTCAGAACACTAACAGCCATACTTAAGCCTCCAAGACATAAGATTGGAAGATTCTTCTCTGAATAAACTGGTCCAAGGGAAAACACATAGAAATGGAAATGAGAGGGAAAAAAGTTAAGGGATCCATCTGGGAGGTCCTATATCAAATATCATGAATTGCAGAAGGAGAAAAAAAAAGAGGGACACAAATTATTAAAGAACTAATAAGGAAAAATTTTTCAAATCCTGTAAGTCATGAGTTTCTGGAATGAGAAGGTCTATTGAGCTTCCCACATAATAAATAAGAAAAGACCTACACCAAGGTGCACCACCATGAAAATTTAGTACTGATTATAGCGATAGAGAAGATTATAGTAATAGTTTCCAAGTAAAGGAAAAACAAAACCATCACATACAAAGTAACAATTAGAGTCCACTTCCATGCATGTGTCTCTCCACCTAAGCCTTCTACCTACAACTATAAAAACAGCTGTTTTAAGGCATTAGAAATAACTGAGGCAGCCAAGACTCAAAGAGCCAAGGCCACGAAAGAAAGGGACATGAGTTAAAATGAGCCTTACATTCACTGCTGCTTTTTCCCCTCAAAGAATTTGCTGATTTTCATTGTGAGGCATTGAAATTGAACCAAAAAGGGTAGCCTACAGTTTGTGTCAGCCCCTCTGGTTCAACAAACTCAAATTCAAGGTCAGGGATACCTAGGCTCCCCAAATCTGAGGAACCACTATCCTGAAGAAAAGGTGACGACAGAGAGTAGTACACATGTGTGATAGTTAATTCTAGGTGTCAACCTGACTGGGCTAAGGGTTGCCCAGATGGCTGGTAAAAACATTATTTATGGGTGTGTCTGTGAATACATTTCCAAAAGAGATTAGCATTTGAATCAGTAGACTGAGTAAAAAACATCCACCTGTACCAGTGTGGGCAGGCATCTTCTAATCCATTGAGGAATTGAATAGAATAAAAAGGCAGAGGTAGGGTGAGTTTTCTCTCTCCTTGAACTAGGATATTTATCTTCTCATGCCCTTGGACATCAGAGCTCCTGGTTCTTGGGCCTTCGGACTCCAGGACTTATACCATCATAACCCCAATGCCCCCAGCTCTCAGGTTCCCAACCTTGGAGTAGGAGTTATAACATCAGCTCCCCTGGTTTTCAAACCTTTGGATTCACACTGACTTATATTACCAGCAATCCTGGTTCTCCAGCTTGCAGAGGGCAGATTGTAGGACTTCTAAGTCTCCCTAATCATGTGAGCCAATTCCCATAACAAATCTCATTTCCTCATTCATATACATATGTGTGTGTGTGTATATACAACACAAGAAAATTAGTTTCTTCTCTTTATCTTTATAGTCAGTATACTAAATTTTCATGGTGGTACACCTTGTTATAGATCTCTTCTCATCTATTATCTCATCTATTATATGGGAGGTATATATATATATAGCCTATTAGTTCTCTTCTCAGGAGAACCCTGACTAATACAACCTTATATCTTTTAGAACTTTTTCCCCCTCAAGGTATTTGTAGGTTCTCAAGTTGCACAGAGTTAGAAGCCAAGAACCCAAGCAGAAATCTGCAGTTAGAAACTAAAAATGAAGCAGAGTCTTCAACTGACGATAGCATTAAGAAAACAAAAATAAGACTTCACAAAAGATATCCACAAAAGATAAGAGGTCTTGGTAAATATCTCCAGACTTTTAGCTGAGATACCCAAAAAAGAAATGCCCTAGGAGTATGAACAGACTGGAAATAGACTCTCTTCAGATGAACTAAGGTGAGCCACCCCCCCAACTCCTTATCAAAGAAAAGAAAATTATTCTCTCTGGAAAAAAATAAAATCATGGTTCACTAATTATGCATAATAGTTATATGGTCATAACAATAGAAACAAATATTGATTTAAATAAAAATGATTACATATTAATAACATTTTAGAAGGCTGAGGAAGGGGTGCATATTTCTGTGTTAAAGAGATAGGGATACAAGAGAACTAAACCATAATCTTCTATAGCAGGAAGTACAACAAACAATATTTAAAACCGAAAAATCAAGAAATAGCAATAACAGCTACCATTTAGATATATGGAAGCAAATATTAGAATAAGCACCTAAAAATAATTTAAGGCAGTAGCCTCTGGAGAAAAAAAATTAGAAGAAGAGAGAAAACAGGGACAGCTTTTTTTTTTATGAGTTTGAAAGTATTATTTGATTTGTTGAGCATGTGCAGGTATAACTTTTATAGGAAAAATCTGCCTTAACACAAAAAAGTAAAGAAAATCTCTAACAAAGTAACTGGCACATGGTAGGTAGCCCATAAATGTTTATTATATGAATTATTAAATATATGGCCTCAGAGCATGTGGTGACAGACAAGTGATCTATATTCGTTGGGCCCAGGATCCTTCTGGAGGAAGGAAGTATTGCCTTGTATATTCCCCGAGTGTATCTTCTGCCCCATTTGCTAGAGTCTCTCCTGCCAAGCATTCAGCAGAACTGTCCCTTCACGGAGCAGAGTGGGCAGCTGCCTACTTAAGACAATTTGATAACACAAAAACATGACTTGCCTGTAGATAATATTCCCCAATGACCTATCATAGGCTGGATTTTTTTCAATTCTTCCAAGCTCATAGCATCTGGCTACTAGCCAAAAGGTGAGGTCAATTGGCTTTCTTTAGCTGGTTATTAAATCCTAGAACAAATCTTAATTCCTGGTTTGATTATGCTAAGTGGTTCAGAATTACGGGGGCAGGCAAGAAATCCTCTATATCAAAAAGCTGGAATAGTTTATCAAAAAAAAAAAAATTCCCATAACACTCACTCACATTTCACCTCCAAGTAACAATTAATTCTGCTTAGGTGATCGTGTATTTCAGAAATGACATTTTTAGTGTGGCTATTTATAGTTTCAAATAGTATGGCAAACCTAATATGTACATGGAGAAAAAGAGCCAGTGTATAGCAGAGGCTCAGTGTTTGTTATTAGGATGGATGGATGGAGGGAGGGAGGGATGACTGGATATTAGGATGAATATTGGCTCAGAGGACAAAATATAATCACAGTGCATAGGGACTTAATCACAACAGAGTCTGAAAACATGACGGTGAGGTAATAATAGCTCATGTACTCCTTCCTTCACAGTTTTGAGTCTAGTTAGGTCCAAACAGGCTTACTTTATTCAGACGCAGATCTTAGAGTTGGAAGGGATATTAGATCATTTGGTTCTTTTTATTTGAACAGATGCGAGGAGACAAGCCCTTTAAGAAGTCACGGAGGGGGACATTCTGGGAAGATAGTGGTGGCAGTAGGGTAGTTTTAAATCTCCCAGAATTCCAACATAAAAAAAGAAGACAACCCACAGACCAACGTCCAAAACAAAATAGGCAAATGAGGTATGGCACTGAGCCCCCAAATCCAGCAGGTGGGGACAAAGTGTCAGCAGATACAAGGCTTGTGTTGGGTGGCATTTGTGTGTAAGGAAGTGGAAAGGGGCCTGACAGACCTGAGGACAGCAAAGCGCCCAGAGCATTGGAAAGTGTTCTGGGGTAAAACAAGTCTTCTTATTAATAAAAATAAAAGTGCTGCTTTAGAGATACTAGTTGATTTAATTGATAGCACAAGAGTGATGAGATATTCTCATGCCCAGCCTGAAGATTAGGTTACAGAAAATTTAAGTATCAGTAAATCATCAGGTTATAGCTCTCTATTAGTTGCCAGTATTTTAAAAATTGGTAAAATAAATAGCAGCCTTAAAGACCTTGCATGTGTGTATGTAACTTTACCTATATCAATCGATCAACAATTTTGTACAATCCCTTCTATAAACGGTTAGTTTCATACTCTTTTTTTTTTTGGCACTAAAGCAAATGACTCTAGAAAATCACTGTATTTTAATTTTAAAAATATTTGGAACTATAAAATTGACCTTTCAAATTACTAATCTTTCAGCTAAGCGCTCAGGTATCCTTTTAGCGTTAGGAATACTCTCATCCTGGGCACATCGAAAGTCTGTTTTCCCATCAAAATGCATAAGAAGACCCTACGGTGTGCATTGATATGGTGCCCCAAGGATATCTCTATTTATAATGTGAAGTATCTCATGAACAAATCTGGTTCCAGGCCACGGCGCTCCAAGGCAGAACAGAGTGGTCTGTCCCAGGTGATTTTCTTAGGTAGCCCCCTACAATGCAAATGGAGCTGCCCTGAAGGCACCCTATAAATTTATTATAAAAATCTAAAATAGAAAAACACAAAATAACAAAAAAGTTTATCTTACTAAAATTAAAAGTATTCCCCTCACTCAGTGTAACTTTAAAATAGAGTAAGGAACAATAGTTAGCATGAGAAACAATGGGAAAAGGCCTCTAGCTCTCCACAGAACACTCTCTTGGCTGAATGAAGTGAAAAATTCTGATTTTAAGGAGATGAAGTGGGTATGGTGCCCCGTGTGCTTTACAATCATTATACTGCTTTGCAGTGGGACGATATATATTAACAATTATTACAGCTAATTGTGTCCAGAGTTTATTTTAATAACTTTCTAATTATTAATACTTTGCTATCTCCAGAAACATATTCTGGCAATAATGCTCAGTAAATAGTGAAATAAAAATCTTAAATACCTTTTAAATTCTAGTTATTTGACACATCTTCTCAGGCCATGATAAAGTAACAGGGAGGCTCCCACCTTAAACAATGAGAAAACTTGATAAAAATACTAGAAATAATCATTTTCAAATGTTCAATAAGGGGTGGCACAAGAGTGTGATCCCTAAGAAGAGAGTAACACACAATTTAAGCTCTACTGTTGCCCCACTTATTACCTGGAGATAGTTTCCAGTCCCCAGGCAAGGAAAGGGAACCCAAACTGAGCCCTGTGGTCTCACTGAGTAGAAGAGACAGGGTGGAATTCAGGGAGGCCAAGACAGCTAGTATGTGTGGTCAAAACACTAGAGAGGAGAGAACTACACAGACACTTCCAAAGATCTGCAGAGAGTCCCCTCAAATCTTTGGCTGATGCAGTCATGATGGCTCATGCCCATAATCCTAGCACTTTTGGAGGCTGAGGCAGGAGGATTGCTTGAATTTGAGACCAGCCTGAGCAAGAGCAAGACCCCATCTCTACAAAAAATAGAAAAATTAGCCGGGCATGGTGGCATGTGCCTGTAGTCCCAGCTACTTGGCAGGCTAAGGCAGGAGGATAGCTTGAACCCAAGAGTTTGAGATTGCAGTGAGCTATAATGACCCTACTGCATGGTAGCTGGGGTGACAGAGTAAGACCCTGTCTCAAAAATAAATACATAAATAAATCTTTGGCTGAGTGCTGATCTCTACAAGCAAGAGAAGGAAGTAAATTCTGGCCATATAAGGAAGCAGCAGAAAGCAGTAAGCCAATCAATTCCCACAGCTCCTACAGAGCTGGAAAGAGTTCGTGTTACCACCAGCCAGAGTGGAAAGACCTCAATCATAATGCACAGAGCATTCGGAAGAGTCTTCAAAAGGGTACTATCTTAGAACTGAGGCCAAATCAGCCCTAGACTAAACACTGCTCTGCATATGCCTAAGAAAGTTTAAAAACAAGCTTCAAAAAATAAAAAAAAATCTGATTCCTAAGGACTACATGCCATGACAAGATCTAATAGTATCTAAAGGAATAAAAAAAAATTCCAGCACTCAAAAAAAAGAAAAAAAATCACAATATATAATATCCAACTAACAATCACCAGGCATAAGAAGAGGCACACTTACAACAGAGATGATAGAATTAGTGAATATGAATGTGACTAGGAAAGAAATGGAAGATATTTTTTAATGGAAATTTTCTAAGATGCAATACTTAGTTCCTAAAATTAAAAATATACTAGATATGATTAACAGAGTAGGAACTTCAGAAAAATTTTTTTTAAAAAATCAGTGAATTTGAAAACATGCAATAGAAACCATCCAAAATGAAGCATAAAGGGGAAAAAAAAAAGACAGGAAAATAGTATCAGTGACCTCTGGGATACTATCAAGTTGTCTAATACATGTATAATCAAAACCCAGAGGAAAGCTGAGAGAAGGGAGGAGAAAAATATTTGAAGACTTAACAGCTAAATATCTACCAAATGTGATAAATTCTAGTTATTTTTTAAATCTATATCATCTCTGAGAACATTTCACTCACCAGTGATTGATGAGCCTAACCCTTGACCGGGGCAGACAAAAGCCAAAAATTCAAAGCTGGTACTGGGAAATTCAATGTGCCATCTTAACTGCTTTACCAAAAAAAAAAAAAAAGAGAGAGAGAAAGAAAAAGAAAAAATAACAGCCCTAAGAAGTGAATTAAGGCTGAAATGTCATGTGGTATTTTAACCTTAATTCTAAATTTCCTTGTTCTAATCAATCTAAATCAGGCCCTAATGATATTTAAATGTAGCTACTTATAATTCCCATAATAGGCAAACAAAAGGGAGGTTAAAATAATTCTATTATTTCACAATGATGAAACAGACTGAATATTTCAATTATTCTACTTATTATAGTACACATAGAACAATGCTCTGTAATCTGCTTCGATATATATAGGCTCTTTAAACACACCACGGTGGGACTAATACAGTCACTGTGGTTGAGCTGCACTCGCTGATTCAATGTTGAAATAAAGTACTTCACAGATTAGCTTAGTCTGCAGCACTTAAAGGTCAGGATTTATTGTAATGTAAATCACAAAGCAATTTTATCTTGACAGAGATTACATACTGTTACAATATTTCTCGCTGAATCTAGTGATGCGTTTGCTTTTTCTTTGCAACTGCTGTGCAAATTGGACCGTAGCCCAGAAAAGAAAAAGAGATGGCAGGCTGCTTTGGCTTTTTAGAAACAACTTAATTCTCTTCATTTTTCAAAGTTCCATAAGAAAAAAAAAAGATCTCTGAAAATACACATAAAATCATACACAAATACTTGTAAACCTTTACAAACCCTGAGCTCTAGTGCACACAGATATCTGTAAATGACCGTTTCTCAAATATTTTGATGTGTTTTAGGAAAGGGTATAATTGCTAATGACTAATTTCTGATCATTCATACCAAGTATCTTAATACATTACCTAAATTATCTCCATTTTCAGCAAACAAAAACAGTAAGAAGCATTCTTGTTTCTATTGACAGAAATCACAAAAAGAAAATTGAGTGTAAACAAAGCAAGGTGAGGATTAGAACTTCTGCTGCTGTCATTGTCCCCATAACCAAATATAGAGGGGTAGAGATTGTACTTAAAGAAGAAGGAACTGGTGCAAGATACCATAAAGAACTTTTTTTTATTACCAGGGAATTAAATGAACTACTCAAAGACTTTGAGGAGTCTTTATTCCTGAAATTCTCAAAATGAGACCAACTCAGTCTCTTGTCCTACATCGTGTCTCTCGAAGAATCAACCAGCATGTGTAGAATTCTGTCAGTTTTTATAAATTCTATATACATAGATTAATAATATACAAAAGTGATGGTGAGGCCCAGAACTTAACAGGAAATGCATCCAAGGCTAACCTCTAGCTGCAGTTACTCCATTTTTATTTCCCGCATTTGGGCCACTATCAGATACTTATATTCAACACTGGCAAAGCACTTTTCCTTGAATGAAAGGTGATATGTTATTGTACGGTTTATTCAAATATTGAGTAGTATAAACTTTCATCCTGGCTGTATCTTATCAAGCAATGCTTCCTACCTGTCAATAATCCCAGGTCAACCTTCATATGTCTATAACCCAATACAGTATAATTTGTTTAATATTTTTCTTTAAATCAATTCAAAATTTTACCTAAATAAATTTATTTTAAAACAAAACTCTTTCACTTCCAAAATGAGAGCTTTGACATGATGGATAAAAAATTAGAGCTTTGACATGATGGATAAAAAATGTTTGCTGCATACCACTTAAAATGGTCTCATGTACCACCAGTTATCCACATACCACATTTTTGGAAATACAAGCTATACAAGAGTTGTGCAAATAGGAGATATGTACTACAGGTTCAAGTAGTATGTGGGCAATAAATGCAGGCATTTTGGAAAATTGCATTTTTTCATAAAATGCAAATATCCCTAACCACAATATCACATAAAATTACGCACAGGCACCTCCGAACCACAGGTTTCTCCTTATATGTAGGTCGAGCATACATCCTGGTTTGGCTAGGACAGTCGCAGTTTATGCCGGTTGTTATTGTGGAGTAATCATTAATCACTCCTTCTTTCACTCTCAGAAGTGTCCTGGTTTAGATGATACCCAACGTGTACAGTAAATCACCCAGAAAAATGGACCGTCAAAACGTTTCTGATTGGCCTTGTTCTTATCTGCTGGACAGCTCTCTAGTGCTGAAAAAAAAATGCATTTCCTCTGGAGAACACTTGAGAATTTACAACATACATTATCTTACTCTATCTTCACAACAACCTTGTGAATTAGATGCTACCTGTAAGTTACAAATGGGGAAACGCAGGTTCAGGGAGGTTTAACGACTTGCTCAGGGTTCCCACAGCTATTACAGGACATGGCCAGAACTCACATCTAGGTCTCCACTGCATATCAAGCGATCTTTTCTAGGGAATTGGAGAAATGGGGCTCTTGGAAGGGAAAGTGTGGGGTTTGGGAGGGAGAAGTATTCTGAGAATGAGCCCATTCCCTTTCGCTGTGGATTTGGAGAGATTAGGACAAGACACTGCATGTCTGCAATGCCACCACATTCCCATTTTATAAAAAGAACATATTTTTCATTAGAACTATTTTTTAAAACATTGGTTAGATTGCCCAGATTATAGTCAACAGACTATTTATGTTAAATGGATTTAATGGACCTTTTTGTTCTGCCCTGAAAATCTAACTGGATTGTTAATTACAAGTTAAATTTTATAAACATTTTCTTTTTTTGATGCTGAAGAGGAAAGGAGAGGGAAGGCCGGGAGGCACCCTCCTGTGGCCTTGGAGAAAGGAGGAAAAGGGGAGGACCCCTTACGCCACCGTCAGCCTGCCTTCTCTGCTCTGCTCCGCTCTGGTCCTGCACCACTGTTCTGCCAAGCACGTCTATCCTCCCGGCTCACGGGGGGGAGGGCCGCAAGCTTTACATCACACCACTGGTTTACACCCTGAGAAACGTCTCGTGAGCTGCAAAATACACTTTGAAGCAACTTTCTAAAAGGCACATCTATATTTACCAATGTGTTCCACATGATTAAACTGTGAAATTTGCCTCCAGTTTGGCAATACCTTAGGGAGATGTTGTGAGGTTCAGAAAGAAAATGCCTGTGAAGTGCCTCAAGTTCCGGGGAAGGAAAGCACTCTGCATCCAAGGTGCTGTTACACTCCTGGATGCTATATTGGTGCAACAGCAAGTAAAATAGCGTAAGTTATGATGTCACAATGTTGTCATGCGACATCATCCACAGTGAGAGCAAGAAAAAGCTGTTTTAAAAATGCCTCTTCTCTCCCCCCACCCCCTTCAGCTTGTTAAAGCATATGGTCTCCAAAACTAGTTCACAGTGAACTTCATTTCTGCCACTGCTGTAAATGAAGTATCTTCTCAGGCAGATGTCAGTGCTAAAAGTTTGGTGCTCATAAATACCAAATTTACATAAAATCTATATAGCTTTTTTTCAAAAGTCTTTCTTAGTTGATGTAGGCTGATTGGCTGGGACACACAGTTCACTTACGTATTCCTGTAACCATAATACATTTCCAGATTCACTAATGGGAAAAGCAGTAATTTTGACTGACCCACAAATGACATTCCTTGAGGCCTCTCTGGTTGTAAATGCCATGTGTCAGACTGATAGGGAATAAATTAGAAAGTTAACTGAGATCTTCTTGGACCTGTAAATTTAGGCCCTTGTTTTCAAACTATAGGTTACCACTTATACAAAACGCATCATTTGTCAATGGGATACAAAATGAAACTTATAGGTGTTTCACTACCTGAAAACACCATCAAAATAACCTATTGATAAAGCAAACCTGAGTTTATTGCTTGCCATAGTAAGAGAGGCCACTAACTGGAAGAATCTTAGCAGTGTCTCAGAAGAGGAAAGGCAAAAATAGGATACTTATGAGATCTGGGGCCGGTGGGTTAAGGTGAATGTTTTGCTGTGAGATGTAAGGGCTTTATTATGATTAGGCAACTTTGTGATATATTAGTCTAGTATTGGTAGACATAGAGAGGAGACGGTTTTGAAAAAAAAAAGGATTTCAAAGCAATTCTTGAAGAGAAAACAGTTGATTGATGCTGCTTTAAGTTGAGCAGTCTAATATATGTTTAAATGGATTTTTAGGAACGTTCTGAAATGAACAATTATCAGCAACTTTATCTTCCTGGGCAAGAACTTACTGAAATAATAAAATCAAGTTGATGAAGACAGTGGAAGTTACACTAATGAAGTATCTTAATAGTAAAGTCATGTTAATGTAAACTGTAGGCCGTATGGATACAGATAGCTTTGGAGCTCAACACGTGCGCTACTAGTGCTCTTCAAACTCAATCAGAAAAGCCTAGCATACCAAAAGCAACTCCTTTCTCAGAGAAGGATGCATTTTAGACCCCTGAAGCAGGTAAAGCCTTCCTTTAGGACGCTGGCCTTTTTATCTCATCATTCTTGCTGACTACCTTCTTAAAGATCACTGTTGATTCTTGGCCTAGAGATCATTCCCCTCTTTTACTTTATTTAGCATATTTTATGTATACAACATAGTTTAACAATTTGAGGACAAACCTCAAATTCTTTGGAAATATTCCATTGCTACTCCCACTATAAAAATCCTGATCATGATGCTATGCTTAAATCTTGTTAATAAGTCTCCTTTGGTCTCTGGATGAAATTTAAATTCTCAACATGCCTCTTGGTTTATATTTCCTTCTGCTCCTCTCACACTTCACCCCATAAATGCATGCATACATGAATTCTATACTCCAATCACACGAAATTCTTTGCAATTCCAGAATGTGTCAACCTGGAAAGCTCACCAACACTCCTTCCTTCCTATTTCCTGTTAAAGATCCCTCCACCTAAGAAATCAATTTATCCAGGAAGCCCCTTGCAAAGAGGAGGAAATACTCCTTTTTGTGCTCTCTTAATACTTTATACTTATTTCCATCATCCCATTCCATCCCCAAGAATAAGGTACTCATTACTTTGTATTGTAATTGTTCATTTATTTGCTTAGTTTATCCTCCCTGTCAGTAAGTTCCTTGAGGGCAAGCATATTGTCTGGGAAATAGAGATCACTCAAATATGTTTTTTAAATAGATAGCAAGTGAATGAATAAATAAAATCTTAAGATTCTGACAAAAAAATCATAAAACTTGACAGCCTGTCAAATAAATTATCTGATGGATCCTAAAAAGTAAATTCTCAAAGTTTTATTTCTAAATCAACAATAAAATTTAAGAGAATTAAACTTAATATTTGCACAAACCATATTAATAAAACTTTAAAAGTATGAGAATACATTCTGCTGGTGAGGCTGTGGGAAGGCAGGCACTTTCTTGCTGGTATGACAAGTACATCATTGGTACAACCCTTTTGGAGAAGAATTTGGCAATACCTAACAAAACTACAAATGCACTTACCCTTCAACCCAACAATTCCACTTCTAGGAAGTTAACCTGAAGATACACTTACAACAAAAGAAAAATACATATGCACAAAGTTATTTATTGCAACATTACTTATAATCGCAAAATATTTGAAGCATTCTAAATTCCCATAAATAGAATAGTAGGTGAATAAACCATGGTACATCCACAAATGAAGAAGTATGCAGCTGCAAAAAAAGAATAAGGAAGATCTCTATGAACTGACATGAAGTGATTTCCAGGATGTATTGTTAAGTAAAAATAACATAATGCAACAGAACATTTATGGTTTCTGCCATTCATGTAAGAAAAAAATGGAGACTATAAGAAACTATACATGAATCTACTCAGCCTCTCAAGTAGCTGGCAGGAGGATAGCTTGAGCCCAGGAATTTGAGGCTGAAGTCAGCTATGATAAATGCCACTGCACTCTAACCCAGACAACAGAGTGAGACTCTATATCCACAAAAAAAATAAATAAATAAAATAAAATAATAAGATATTTTTCAGACCTTGCATTCCAATAGGCCCACTGATACCAGCTGGTCCTGTGACTTCTGCCAAGTAACTGACTCAGTGCAAAAATGGAACTTCTATTACTATATCCCTATAATTTCATTCCTCCAACCTAAGCAATCAGTTATGCCAATTCCCTACCCGCCCCTACCCACCAAAATTCCTTTACAAACTTTAGCCCAGAAATCTCTGAGGAGACATATTTGAGGGGTTCCTCCTGTCTCCTTGTTCAGCTGCCCAGTGATTTATCAAACTCTTTCTCTGCTATAAGTCTTCCTGTCTCATTGTATTTGTCTTATACTGCACAGTGAGCAAAAGAACCTGGTGGTCCTATAACAAAAATAGGTATGTTACAGGATTAAGCAAATAGATATCTTGTGGATAACAAGAGCCAGGTATCTATCTCACCATTGGAGAAAGGATGTACAAATAATGACAAGGAGAAGGCTAGAATGGATTCTGTGTTGTTGGATTGAAATTGGAGACATCAGAATGAAATCATGGTTTTTATTAAACACACAAAGAAGAAGAGACAGAGACAGAATGTGTATATTTATATATACCCTTGCTCTGTGCAGTAAGAAGGCCAAATCTGGGACAATCTGAGCAGCAAAATAAATAATTATGTAAGGATTATAATCTGTAGAGTAAAATAAATGTTCATGATTCCATTCTGGTATAATTAAATAATTGAGTAAATAAGTAAATGAGGGAAATGGGACAACTTTTCCTTATAATAGAAGTCCAATAGTAAAAACGGAAAGAATGTATAATGATAAATAACTAATAAACACAGAAGGAGTAGAAATACCATTAGGCAAATACCACAGTAATAATTGTTCAGGTAAGAATCAATCAATGGATGTTAAAATTGATAAGCTAAAAGTATGACAAGAAACAAAATTTCTGCACAGTCTCAAAGCACCTTCCCACAAGATACTTATTAATTACAGAGGGAAAAATAGTAACTTTACAGTGAAGCTTGGTGGACACCACCTTATCCAAGTGATCAAACTTACTGTATGTCCAATGAGATATACTAGACTTCATGTATCTCTTGATACAATGCATGATAGGATATTACTTCTATGGCATCCTTGCCAAAGGTACCTAAACCTAATCTAATCATGAAAAAATATCCAACAAACTGAAATTGAGGGCCAATAGCCTTGCAAAGTGCCCAACTCATGAAAGACAAAGACCTAGTAACTATCCCAAATTGAAGATGTAATAGCTAAATACAATATCGGATCCCAAAGAAGATTAGTGGGATGACTGGAGAGATTTTACTAAGGCATGTGTATTAGTTACTAGTATTTTATTAATGTAAATTTTTCAATTTTGATTATTATACTATGATTATGTAAAATTTCAAGAGTTGAGGAAGTAGGTACATGTCAAGTGATTTGTGGGTACTCTGCAAACTTTTTGTTGAAAGTTACAATTTAAATATGCACAAACCAAAATGGTATAGCTATTATGTTATCCATTTTAGAAATTAGAAGAAAGAGTCGTGTGGCTAATAATAGGGGAATCAGCTCTTCTGATTTGCACTCATGTCTGATCTACCCATGACAACTATAAGGACATAAGGCCTTATACTTCACTTCTGTGAATTTTTCTTAGAGTCTAGCACATAGCAAATACTCAACTAAGACTTTTGAAGAGACAGAACTATAAATATAGGTTAATTTTTTAGAAAGAAAAAAAATGGCACCAAGAATAGAATAAAGGTTATCTGATTTCAATGATCACATACCTCTTGTATATATGACCAGCATCAGATTAATTTAAGAGAAAAATAGTAAGCTACAAAATATTAGTTCTAAGTTATAAAGGATTAGGGTGTATTAATCAATAAACCAAGAGGTTTATTTGCTCTAAATAGTAGCTCATGACTTGATGTGGGAATAGGAATGCTGGGTGGGAAAGTGTAGCAAGTGTGTGTTGGTCAGAATTTCCTGGAGATAATTTTCAAGATTACTTTTAAATCACTCTCCCAGGACCTACCATGACCCAGAAGGGGCTAGACTCAACCTGATAAGGATGTCCATGCTTTGGAAAGGCTCCTGTGTATTGTGTGAGATTATTTTTTCTATTTTGTTTGTTTTTGTGTTCCCTTCCTTTCGCTTTTCCTTTCATTTAATTAAAAATAATCACATAAAACCTGCACTTAATTTAACAAATTAAAAATAGAGAGACTTATTTAAAGT